GGTTGAGGCTGCAGTGGCCAGGAGCGGCCACTGCACTCCAGGCTGGGTGACAGAGTGAGATTCCAACTCAAAAAAAAGAAAAAGATGAACAAGATAGTCTAAGACAGTCACAACCTTTATCTGAAATGCTTGGGGCCAGATGTGTTTGAGTAGTGAGACTTTAGAAAGGCAAGGGAGCACAAAGCATCGCGCTGCACCCCAATCGCACTCACAGCCAACAGCCTGGCGGCCAAGCACGCAGACATCCATAAGGGGCTGTGGGTTGGGACAAAGCGGCCTCGCCCAAGTTCAGGTAAATTTTTTTGGTTTTCTTTGGAGTCAGGGTCTCACTCTGTTGCCCAGGTTGGAATGTAGTATAGTAGCATCATCTTGGCTCACTACAGTCTTGACCTCTTGGGCTCAAGCAGTCGTTGTGCCTCAGCCTGCCAAGTAAGTAACTGGGACTTCAGGTGAATGTCATCACACCTGGCTAATTGTTTTATTTTTTGTAGAGATGAGGTCTCACTACGCTGTCCACAATGGTCTTGAATTACTGGGTTCTAGTGATTCTCCTGCCTCAGCCTCCCAAAGTGTAGAGACCCAGTTGGTTTTGCTTGCCAATGAGCACTGGTCAGTAAGCCTTGCAACCCCCAGAGTCAGAAAACTACGTTAGTAGTCAGAACTTTTTTGGATGTTACAGTAGTTTTTCTTTTTCTTTTTTTTTTTGAGTCAGAGTCTCACTCTGTCACCCAGGCTGGAGTGCGGTGGCGTGCTCCTGGCCACCGCAGCCTTGACTTGCTGGGCTCCAGCAATCCTTCCACCTCAGCCTTCCAAGTAGCCGGAATTACAGGTGTGCACTACCACACCCAGCTAATTTTTGATTTATTGTAGAGATGAGGTCTCGCCAAGTTGCTCGGGTGGGTCTCGAACCCGCAGGCTCAGCTAATCCACTCGCCTCGGCCTCCCAAAGTGCGGGGATTACAGGCTGAACGCCCGAGCCCGGCCACAATAGCTGTTCCTAAGGAACTGAGTATCATAAAGTGACTCAAAGACCAAAAAATAAGTAGCAATGAAGAGCGTCGAGGATTCTGTTCCTCGGATGGCTCTTTCCTAGTACTAGCACAGAGCCCCTCTCTGTGTCATCAGAGTGGAGGCCCAGGCGCATGGCCTCCGGGCTGGATGCAGTTTCAGTTGCTGTGACCCTCACATCAGCTGCATCAGGCCCCCCCACAGCCCGGCAGCCTGGAGCCCGAGCGGAGGGCCGTGGGAGGGCTTCGGGGGTCCTGGGATGCGGCCTGCTCTACATTCCTCAGACCCTGATCTTCACTTTCACCTTCCCGACACGCCTCGTCTCCTTCCTACCCCTGTTCAAACCACAACATGTTCTGAGCGGGCTGACCTGCTGGGTGCGGAAGCCTTGACTCTGGGACGGGCCCAGGTAGGGACTGACGAGGGGACATCCAAGACCAGCACGCAGCAGGAAAAGCTCACAGCACCTCTCTGTCCATGACAGGCGGCGTGGGTCAGAGAGCGGCCACAGGTCCCTGTGACGTCACGCCCCTGTTTCTGCTATTCTCCGGGTGAGCCTGACAGCTGGACCAGAAGGCTGAATGCAGGATGAAAACGTGTGCAAAGAAGCATTCTAAGTGCTGCTGTTACACATCTTAGGAGACTCGGCAATTCTGGGGAATAGATGGGCAGCTCTACACCTCCAAATTTCAATGAGGGTAAGTGGAAATGGCTAAACTGATGGTCGAGGGTCTAAAGTCCGCTGTAAAACCAAATTCACTCCCCTGGACACACACAAAAATGTATAGAATTCCACAAGTTCAACCAAAAATACTATTGCCTTTAGAAAAGCAGACACCCTGTGTGTAAGCTACAGCACAACCCCACAGTCATGTTATCATAACGACAGATCAGCCACCACAATCCCAACTCGCTGGGCAGCTGTCAAGGACACAGCCTCACCTGTGTTGTCTTTGCTGAGGATGTTCTTCTGCATGTCCTCTACCTTCGCCATGAGTCGCTGGTACTGTTCCTCTGCCACCTGCAAGTCATTGTTGGAGGATGCCAGGCTGGCGTTTTTCGCTTCCAACATGTTCTGCAGGTCAGTCATGGCTCGCTCCAGGTCCCAGCAGGACTGCTTCAAGGTGTCCACCTCTGAGCTGAGGGAGTCCTGCCGCTGCTGGCTGCTGTGGCTGTGCTCCACCTGTGCCTGCAGCCTTGTGCTGAGGGCGGCCAGTTGGGCCTGCAGCTCGGCCTTCTCTTTAAGTGCCTGAAAAGAACCCAACTACCATAAGACTTTCAGAAAAACGAGTCTCGTTGTGCAGTGCAAACTGGACCACTGAAACACACCCAGTAAGACAGAGGACAGAGTCTGCCAAGTGAGACCTCACTGAGACACTCTCCCACACCCCCATGGCCAGAATAAGTCCTGGGAAGCAGGACGGGCACACGCAGTGCTTTCACTAGCTTTAGGGACAGCTGCATCGTGTTGGAAAACATTTGCTTAAAACATTAAAAAAGCTGGGCTCGATGGCTCAGCCTGTAATCCCGCGCCTTTGGGAGGCTGAGGTGAGTGGATTGCCTGAGCCTGCGGGTTCGAGACCTGCCTGGGTAGCAAGACCCCATCTCTACAATAAATAAAAAAATCAGCCGGGTGTGGTAGTGCATGCCTGTAATTCCAGCTACTTGGAAGGCTGAGGTGGAAGGATCGCTGGAGCTCAGCAGGTCGAGGCTGCGGTGGCTGGGAGCGGCCACTGCACTCCAGTCTGGGCGACAGAGTGAGACTCCAACTCAAAAAAAAAACAAAAAACATTAAAAAGCACACATGGGTGCATAAGTGTGTGCAAGTACACACCAAGTAAGAATTCCAGATGTACTCAGGGATCCCTAAAAGATAAAAAGCAGTCAGATTTCAATGTGGGGATGAATGGGCAGACGGTGTCAGCACAGAAAGACTGATGTTACGTAAGAGGTTCCAAGGGGCTCCAGCCAGGGCCGCTGCACACAGACCCAGTCCAGAGTGACCACAGCAGCACTATCCACAGGACAACACAGGGAGGAGCAGTAAGGGCCCTGGAGCAGCAGAGAACCACCACAGTTAGAAAACAGGTGAAGGGTCCACACCCCACCCACCTGTCCACATACCCTGCCCATCCTCAGGTCTATCCAGGGGACATGTGGGAATCCAGAATTCACACATCCTCAAAAAAAACAAAAAATTGGGCACACATAGGAACAAACCCCCAATGTAATTGAGTTAACTGAACAAACTCGTAGAGTTTAGAACAAGTATAATCAGTATTTTCAGAGATACTAGAAAGGACTGCACCTACAACAACCCATGCAGAGAAAGGTTTGGACACAGCTACAGCACAGACCAGTCATCCCAGGAGAAGATAAATCAAAGCAAGTCAAGATTCTTAAGAGTATCCATGGGGTACACTCTTGTACAGATGAAACAGAAATGCATCTGGTGAGAGGATTACATTCTCAAGTTGTACATAAAGCACTGTGTACAACCAAAATTAACTTCAAAATCTCATTAGCAGACATGGCTTTATGTATTACAAAGTAGTCTGTGTCGACTAGGTGCGGTGGCTCAAATCCGTAATGCCAGCACTTCGGGAGGTGGAGGCTAGAGGATTGCCTGAGCCCACGGGCTCGAGACCAGCCTGGGCAACAGGGTGAGACCTTGTCTCTACAATACACCAAAAAATTAGCTGGGCATGATGGCACACACCTGTAGTTCCAGCTATTCAGGAGCCTGGATAGCTGGAAGGCTATTCAGGTGGAAGGATTGCCTGAGCCCAGGAGGCTGAGGTTGCAGTGAGCCATGACCATGCCCCTGTTGCACTCCAGCCTCAGCAACAGAGTGGAACCTCGACTCAAAAAAAAAAAGCTGGGCATGGTGGCTCATGTCTGTAATCCTTGCACTTTGGGAGGTGAAGGCGAGAGGGTTGCTTGAGCCCAGAGGTTCAAGACCAGCCTGGGCAACTTGGAGAGACCTCATCTCTACAATAAACCAAAAAATTAGCTGGGCGTGGTAGTGCAAGCCTACAGTTCCAGTTACTTGGAAGGCTGAGGCAGAAGGATCACCTGAGCCCAGCAGCTCGAGTCTAAGGTGGCCATGAGTGTGCCACTGCAACTCCAACCTGGGTGACACAGTGAGACTATGACTCAAAAAAAAATAGAAAAGCAGAACTTCGAAAAGTATTAAAGGGGTAAAGACAAAATTTTTACCATGCCATAAAAAGGTACAGTCCACCAGAAAAATTTAACTATTATGTACCATGAGGAACCTAACATCTAAGAAATATCCTGGGCAGATCCTGACGGAGATGTGGGAGAAAGTGGCTCTTGCATGATTATACCTCTTTCTGAGGCTGACAAACCTAATAGACAAAAGATGTAAAGACACAGAACACTGGCTGAAGCTGATGTGGCTTATTCTTAAAGACATCTATAAAACAGCATATTCAACAAAGAGGAGACACATTCTTTTTTTTTTTTTGAGTTGGAGTCTCACTGTCACCCAGACTGGAGTGCAGTGGCCGCTCCCGGGCACCGCAGCCTCCACCTGCTGGGCTCCAGCGATCCTTCCACCTCAGCCTTCCAAGTAGCCGGAATTACAGGCATGCGCTACCACGCCCGGCTGATTTTTTGATTTATTGTAGAGATGAGGTCTCGCTGCCCAGGCGGGTCTCGAACCCGCGGGCTCAGGCAATCCACTCACCTCGGCCTCCCAAAGCGCAGGATTACAGGCTGAGCCACCGAGCCCAGCTGAGACACATTTTTTTCAAGGACATGGCACATTAAAACATCAATCAAATAGCCATTACCTGACTAGCCTCTAATGATAAAGCTTCCAGCTGCCCTTCAAGCCTCATTTTCTCTTTCAAAACCTGCAGCACCTCGTCCTGTGTTTCAGCAGCAGAGCTCTCCATGGACACGCTGAGGGACGGAGGCACAAAGATAAGCTGTGCATGAGTGACTGTTATTCTTTTTTTTACACTTTTCCATAGTCTTCAAATTCCACACACCCCTGCTGCTGCTTTCCACATTTTAAAAATTAAATAAGCCAGGTGCGGTGGCTCACGCCTGTCATCCCAGCACTTTGGGAAGTAGAGGTGAGAGGATTGCCTGAGCCCAGGGTTTGAGACCAGCCTGGGCAACTTGGCGAGACTTCAACCCTACAATAAACAAACAAAAAAAAGTTAGCTGGGCGTGGTGGCATGTGCCTGTAGTTCCAGCTACTTGGAAGGCTGGGGGGGAAGGATCGTCTGAGCCCAGCAGGTCGAGGTTGCAGTATCTGTGAGCATGATCCTGCACTCCAGCCTGGGTGAGAGAGTGAGACTCTGACCTCCCACCAAAAAAAAATTAAGTAAAAAGACTTAAGTAGAGAACTAAGGTCTGTACGAATGCTAACAATGAATGCCCCTGCCAACAGTCAGGTGCATCCACACGGCTAGTACTCCCTCCTCATGGAAATGCGAGCACATAAGTGTCTGTGCACTTTTAGAGACAAGTCTATATGAACATGGGAAGATAGGATATTTTAACATTACAGACGATTACTGATTAGGTCTAGTTCTATTTCTTAACAAAGCAGCAGAGTTGTATTAATGAAATGCTAACATCAAGACTAAAGATGGAATTAGGAAAGAGAGCTGATGTATCAGCCTGCTCTCGTGATGAGAACCATGGTAGAGAGAAGTGATGCCTAGGTCGTAGCTTTCTGCCCCCACTCCCTGTCCCCACCACTGCCCATGCCCCACCTGCTGCAGAGGCTGTCTCTCCGGCTCCGCACCTCCCCGTTGATTTCCTGTGTCTGGTCTTGGTGCTCAGCTGTTGCAGCCTGGAGGACATCCTTAATCGAGGGGAACTGGCCCAACGCATCCGTAGCAATCTCCTGGCCATTGACCACATAGGAAGTTTCCTGTGTGCCCACTGTGTTCACCAAAATGCCATAGGTCCCTCGGGTGGAGATGCTGCTATAGGAAGAACTGTCACTCTCATTTCCATCGATCTCAGACACGCTGTCTCCAGTTAGTGAGGCGTTCTCCAAATGGTCATCAGCCTCAGGTGACAGGCTGATCTCAGACACCACTGATGTTGTGCTGCTTCTGTTCTGCTTCAGGGAACCCCTGGTAGAGTCAGTGGTTGGAACATTCCCACCAGAATTCCCAGCACCTGAATCTTCAGTTCTGTAATCAGCCAGAGACCGGATTTTGCTTGATTTGGAACTTTTTTTCTCCTTAGGATGTGCCAAGAGCCCCAAGCTGCCCACCTTAGGTCCCCGAGGAACACTGGTGCGCAGGAAGGAATATTCTTTTGTCATAGCCACGGTATTGGCCCTTGGTAAGTTTTCTGGGTTTAACATGAGCTCAGGATCAAGTGTACTAAAAAGTCTTGTTTTTGTTGCAGGTTGACTGGACTGAGAAGGAAACAAAAGTACAAAAATTATTTTTAGAAATGACAAGCAGCATTCTAAAATTGCCATTCGGAAAGACTGCACCAATTAATATTCCCTCCACTCATAAGCAGAGAGCACCCACCTCTCTGGGCCTTCACCACACAGGTATGGCCAGGCCTTCAATCCTCAGTGGTCTCACTGCTTCAGGGTCTGCTCTGTGAACTAGTCTGACCATTCCTGGTCATCAAAGAGCACACTCTAATGAATCTGGCTTTAACAGACTATAGAACATGTATTAGAGCAACTCCTTCCTCATCATACTTTCTTGACAAAATTTTCCTAGCTATTCTGTTCATTCTTTCAGAGAGACATATAAATGTCCTGTAAGTGTAAAAAAAAAAAAAAAATCTTAGGCTGTGCATAGTGGCTAATGCCTGTAATCCCATTAGCATTTTGGAAAGCCAAGGCAGGAGGATCACTTGAGGCCAGGAGTTCAAGACAAGCCTGGGCAACATAGTATGACCCTGTCTCTCTCTCTCTCTCTTTTTGAGTTGTAGTCTCACTCCATCATCCAGGCTGGAGTGCAGTGGCACTCTCACGGTCACCCCAGCGTTGACCTGCTGGGCTCAGGCTATCCTTCCACCTCAGCCTTCCAAGTAGCTAGAACTACAGGCACATGCTACCAGGCCCGGCTAATTTTTTTGATTTATTATAGAGATGAGGTCTTGCCAAGTTGCCCAAGCTGTTCTCGGACCAGTGGGCTCAGGCAATCCCCTCACTTTGACCTCCCAGAGTGCTGGGATTACAGGCTTGAGACCTTCTCTTTAAAATAAAAATTTATAATTAAAAAAAGGTCCTGTTGAATTAAAACTACCTTAAACTTATAATCACTTAAGAGATAATGAGGTCGGGCTTGGTGGCTCAGCTTGTAATCCCACTACTTTGGAATGCTGAGGCGAGTGGATTGCCTGAGCCCACAGGTTCAAGACCAGCCTGGGCAACCTGGTGAGACCTTGTCTCTATGATAAATAAAAAATTAGCCACGTGTGTGGTAGCATGCACCTGTAGTTCTGGCTACTTGGAAGGCTGAGGCAGAAGGTTTGCCAGAGACCAGTAGGTCGACACTGGGGGTGGCCATGAGCATGCCCCTGCTGTCTCCCAAGTATTCATATCTGTTCACGTGTTCTTTAACAAAGAGAAGTCATGTCATGCTTTCAATCTATAGTCTGAGCCCTCTTATTGCCATTTTAATTTAATTCTTAGACAGTTTTATAGTTTTTGCTGTTACTATAAATTGCTTTTCCCACTAATTTTATAACCAATCATGTTAGGGTAACTACTGATTTTTCATACTTGCATTTTAAACTGAAAATTGTATAAACTCTGATAAAATCTAAAAATCTTTTTCAGATGACTCTTTAGAGTTTTCCAAGGCATTACCAACACCTGCAAATAACAAAACACTCCTCTTTTTCAAAATTTATATCACTTACTTCTTTTCCTTATATATTATGTAAGCTAGAACTTCCAAAATGGCCTTGAATGAGTTTTGGAGTGAAGAAAAGACCCCCTTCCTTGTGGTTATTTCAACATAACTTTCTCTTATAGAGAGCTATTCATCTTACATTACTCTACAAAATCAATGTAATCCCATCAGGCAGGGGCATACAAGCAGCATGAGAAAAATCACAAAATGACATTGGATACACATGTGAGAGTAAGTGAGCAAGAATCACTGGAGAAAAGAAGAAGCAGTGCTAAAAGGGGAAGGGATGGGGTAGGTGTGTAAGGGGCAGGGCTAGATAAGTAATGGGCGGGGCTAGGAGAGTAAGAGGTGGGACTGTGAGCAGATTGGGCCATCCAGACTTGACATGGGCAACAAGGCTAGAATAATTAGATGCATTTAAATCTTGGAAAGCAGCTGACAGACTGATAAAACAGTGCAGTTCAGTCATCAGCCTAAGTATAGGTGGGATGTGTAGATAGTTAAGAAGCATCACCATAAAGCAGTAGTACAACCCATGGGAAAGATAGACCACAGAATAAGCAATCTGAGATGACTAATCGGTTATTCAAAGAGACCCAATTCCCAACTCTCTGTTTTACTGAAATCATTATAGATAGATTCAGTTTTCTTTTTTTTTTGAGTTGAGGTCTCACTCTGTCACCCAGGCTGGAGTGCAGTGGCACAATCAGTTCACTGAAGCCTTGACCTCCTGGGCTCAGGTGATCCTCCCACTTCAGCCTCCTGAGTAGCTGGGACTAATTTTTTGGTTTTTTTTGCAGAGACTCACTATGTTGCCCAGGCTGGTCTCAATCTCCTGGCTCAAGCAATCTTCCTGCCTTGGACTCTCAAAGTGCTGGAATTATAGGCATGAGTCATCACACCCAGTCTGGATTAGATTTTAAAACATAATTTTAGCTGGGCTTGGTGGCTCAGCCTGTAATCCCACACCTTTGGGAGGCTGAGGTGAGTGGACTGCCTGAGCCCGCGGGTTCGAGACCCGCCTGGGCAACTTGGCAAGACCTCATCTCTACAATACATCCAAAATTAGCTGGGGGTGGTAGCGCGTGCCTGTAGTTCCAGCTACTTGGAAGGCTGAGGTGGAAGGATCACCGGGGCCCAGCAGGTCGAGGATGTGGTGGCCGGGAGCGGCCACTGCACTCCAGTCTGGGCGACAGAGTGAGACTCCATCTCAAAAACAAAAACAAACAAACAAAAAAAAAACAAAGGAGACTGAAGCTTAAACATGTCAGAATAAATACTCACATTAAAAAAAACAACAACAAAAAAACCCATAATTTTTTTTTTTTTTTTTGTTGGAGTCTCACTCTGTTGCCCAGACTG